CGCCTGCCATAGCTCGCGCCAATCCGCACCACACCGCCTGCCAATCCGCACCACGTCGCCAATCCACACCACACCGCTTGCCATAGCTCGTGCCACGACAAGGTGATGTCGACGCCATGGCCTGCACCTCTGCAGCGCCCTGCCACCATTGTACATGCGCCCTTGACCAGCCGCCGCCCCAAATTAGAGGCGTCGACCACCCCTACACAGCCGCCGAACCCCAGAACCCGAGCCGGGAGCTCCCGATCACCCTACACGCGTCCGCTCTACCTTTCCCGCTGTCCACCACCCACCATGGGTGAGCTTGGGGTATAAAAGCCCCTCTCTGGTGCCCTAGCCCCTCTCCCATCCACCCCACCGCCGCTAGCGGTTTCACCAGCCACGTCCAGCCAGAGAAGGGAGGACAAGGAGGAAGGGGGAGCAGCGCCACCCGTTGGAGCGAATCACAGCCACAGAGATGCTGCCGGAGCCAAAGTATAACACCCCAATGTTAAGCATTGCATTTTTCATTTGCATTTCATGAGCACAAGCATCATCCAAGCATTCATGAACATGAGCATATGAAATTTCATCTCATTCTTATACATTGTCACAAGAAATGTTGATTATATATATGCTTATGCTTGTAATCATGTATGACCAATGTGTGAAATAGTTGTAAGGTCACTACAATACCTTAGACACATCTAGGATGGTGAATGGAACAACTTTTGTATTCATGACATGAACCAATTTTGCTTCTAAGTGTTGGTTTAATTTAAAATGTTAGTTTCATGATGCTAGTTTGACCAAAGTTGAATAGTAGCTTAGATTGTTTGCATGGCTATGTGACCTAAATAAGAGTTGTAGTTCACATCAAGGGTAACAAACTTTATTTAAAGGTCAAGAGCTAATTCAATGTCTAACATGGTCAAATAGAGCTCACAATTTTCAACAAAATGCTGTTTTGTGACAATTTTTCTAAGTGTAGAATGCTGATTTCAGTTTCAAAGTAACTTGCTTTGGAGCACTATAGTTTGAAAACCGTTGGGAATTAGGCCAAACTCCTTTAAGCAATCTTGTAGTACTCATGTAGCTCTACACTTTGTATTAATGAAGTTTTCAAAAATTTGCCACGGTTTGGGAGATTTGGAGGTTCAAAAACATGCTGTTAGCCAGCTCCTTCACCAGTCTGAATCGGCGGGGGCAGCAGCCGTTGTGGTTGACCGGCACAGGTCGCGCGCACCGCGTAGTGGCCGTACACCGGCGCCGGCCCCACCCGTCAGGCCGGAGCAGGCGGTAAAGAGCGCCGTGTCGCGTGCACCCGCTCACACACGCTCACTCTCGCTCTCGCCTCCTCTCTCACTCGTGCGCCGCTCCAGAGTGGAACCACAGGACCGCGCCATCGCCGCCGACCTCCGCTGCACTCGCTCGTTGCCACCACAGCGCCATTGTCCGATTGCTCGCGCACACTGCTCCACTATCCCCTCCTCCACCTTCCCGAGCCGCTAGCCGTACCAATTGTGCTCAAGTAAAGCCGTTGTTCGAGTTCACCGCCGCTGCGCCATTGCCGGAGCTCCGCCGAGCTCGCGTTCGCCGTGGCCGTGCTCCACCGAGCCATCTCGCGCACGCCTTTCTCTCATTAGGGTTAGCCTAGGGACATTATATTCCCCCAGGTCTTATGAGCATGAAGCATATAGAATTCATGAAGCTGACATAGGGTACCAAGAGCCTAACTGAATATCTGCATGCCTTTAACAATCTATCAATGCAGCCCTGTCGTGACGGCTATATTGGGTTGCAATATGGCTATTTTGGTTGCAATATAGATCAATTGCATCTATGTATGGTCGTTAACAAGTGGTTGCATTTGGAACGGTGCAATAGGTTCTTTCATCCTTTTAGATGTAGTGTTGCAATATCGTGGTTTTGCAATGCACAGAAAAAACTAACGCAACCCGTGGTATGGTTGCAAGCACGGATATTGCGACAAGCACAATGGTTGCATGAGTTACTGTTGCGACGAAACATGTGGCTGCAATATGACAGTATTGCCACGAACAAACTTGTCACAAAATAGCTTTATTGCCACTCCATAGTTATGTGGAAATATGGTCATATTGCCATATAGTGTATTCCATTGCATCAAAGCAATCTTGCAACGGAACAATTTTGGTGGCTAGAGTCACAATTGCCACATTCATTTGCTGGTGGCAATAAAAGGTAATACAACGAATCATTGTTGGGGCAATTGATGAAAAATGCAACAAACGATTGTTGGTGGTAATAAATAGAAAATGCAATGAATCATCATTGGTGGTAGACATGTCCTATAGCAACACATAAAGTTTGTGGCAATAAATGTATATTACAACAAAAAATAGTGGTTGCATAGTAGTTTCTTGCAACAAGGGCATTTTGGCCAGCGCCTTTTTAATTCTTTTCGTAGCTATAAACTTAATTATTGTTATAAAATAATTGTGCCATGAGTATAGATTTCATCATCACATATAAAACTCAAAACCTTCATTAACTTTAAACATATGTTTCAACCAAAATAATAACACAATGACCAGAGTATTGCTAAAATAAACATGACCACAACAGAATAAAAACATCATCTTTGACTACAAGTTTGCAACTATGTTTGACATAATAAAATAGAACTAAATATGAGTTCGCTTTTTGATCTCTTCGTGCCCCATCGCCCATCGGCACTGGCAGTCATCAATAAACCTTTCTCCAATTCTTGTAGCTATCCATCACCAACATTAAGGCATAGAGCTTTCTCTAATTATTCTAGTTGTCCATGCTTTCCTGCAATTTATGAACAAGCATACAATTAGTTATTGGAAAGAAATAAAACTGCATGACCAATTGCCATTGTTCTTTTTGTGGAAAAGAACCCAGTGGTAGTAGCATCGTCAACCTTTTTTGTAGTCAACACCCTTGCTAGTTCATTCTGCCAAAATAAATGCTTTGATGTAAAACATATTGCAATTTGTATGTGACATCAGTCAACTAACCTATGAAGCTGATTGCCCCCAAAAAATTACTTCTACAATTAGGAACCATAGTTCATGTTTGCAACAAATAATTTTTAAATTACTACTACTCAGAAAAGTGGATAACATATGGAAATAAAATTAATCATACAACTGGAAGTGGAAAACCAGTGTCTATACTTAGTAAAGTAGAATAGAGTAACTACAGAGGCAATTAGGGCTAGTGCCTAGGAATAAAATTATTCCTACGTTCAGCAGAGTAGAAAAACAATTACTCCTATGTTCAGCAAGGCAGAAATAAATTTACTGCTATGTTCAACAAGACCTACATTCAGCACAGTAGACCAAGCCAACAAGACCTATAGGTGTTCAAATATATATCTTTTATAATTCATCAATAAGGAAACAGAGAACCAATCATGAATTTAATCCTCCATACTAGAAAATTCAGACTACAATATTATCTCTTGAGCTACATCCTATATTCATGGTGGTGTGATGTTGTTGATGTCCTCACTTGGGCCATTTGGATCCTTTGTGGTGTTGATGGTTCCTGGGATAGCATACACGGCCCAAAAGGCAAGGAACATCAGCGAAAATAGAGGAGCCAAAAAAGAAAACCGTGTTCCAAATTTATTACCTATTGCAATGCCACTTGTATTGTTGTTGAACAAAATTTTTGCCTGATTTCTTAATTTGTTTGATACTTTCTTCCTTATCTCTTTCCCTCGCAGAAATTTCATTTGCAAGTTTTTCGTTTAATCCTTGAATATCTTGTTGGTGCTCCATGTCTTCTTGTTGGGCAAAGATCGGAGACGTTGGGGATGCCAAGATCTGACCTGTTCTTGATGTCTGCTTTGCTGCAAGGACATAATTTAGTTATGCACGCAAAAAATTTTAATACAGAGTGAATAATTGATATGCACATCCATAAGGCAATGGCCCAACTGCCATTTAACCCCTGTCAGGGAATTATGAAAAATATATATTGTCTTTCGCGGGATTAGTCTTAATAGATGTAAAAAAATAGGTCAAAATCAATCCAAAAAAGGCAATGGCAAATGAACTACAGATATCTCCAACCTATTTATCTATACACGGAAGGTTTCTTCATACTAAAATTATGCTTGCTTATACCATTATATGTGCACACAGCAATGACAGAAGATCATCATAGGCAGAAATTTTGATTGCAGCAAGAGTCTCTGAATGAACAAAACATAAATTGCGTGATATATTTTAGAGAAATATCAAGAAGAAAATATATTTATGTAGCACACTTCAGGGCATCAAAGGACCTCGTTAGATTACTTTGTTGTAACATGGCATGATAAATAATCGGTATGACCAGCAACACAAATATCAACCCATGACATGTTTATCTTCTAACGAATGATAACCTGTGTTAATCTTCTTGCAAACCCATGGCTCTAAAGCAAACCCATGAAATACTCAGAGGAACTTTAATTAAGACACAATGAAATTAAAAAATATATATAGGCATACATGAAAGTTAGGTTTTCCCTTTTGAGGCGCTAATTCAAGTCAGGACCCTGCAATGCACACACGTACCGTCAGGACCCTCTAATGCAGACATGTACGGGCTGGCCAGGCAACAGATCAAAGCAGCCATGTACAATATTACTTTGTGATTTATTTAGGACAATGTATTACTACTAACTGACACCAAGTCAGATAATCAGATTTGTATTGTATCAGACTAATTGGTTTATAGCGAAGGTATATAAATACAATAGGTGCTTTCAACAAAAAACGTCTCATTTCTAGAAATATTGTGCATATCAGAAAAACAATGGAAACACACGTAAAGTTCTTTTTTGTGAAAAAAACAGACATAAAGTTCCTGCAGAGAAAAAGCTACTAGCCTAATATTGCAGAAGGGAACTGAACATACCCTTCAATCATAGTCAAATTCAGAGCATATTGACACAAGTAACTGACAATCAGAAGCAAGTTAAGTATCGGCCGCTTACCCACTTGTTGATGTCCTTGACGATGGGGTTGAGGAGCTGGAGCACCATGAAGTTGAGCAAGCCCGTGGAGTTCACGTCCAACACTAGGGTCGGGGTTTCCTTGACCTCGCTAGATTCGGGGGCACAGAGCATATTAGAACAGGAAGAACAGCAGCACAACCACAGCCACTGCGGCAGCGGCCGCCATGGAGACCATCTCGCACGGGCACAACAATGGGGGCCGGGAGTGCTCGAGTGTGCGCCGCTTGATCTCTTCGCCCTAGATCTCCCGATGGGGGGCCGGTGGATAGGGCTCCAGAACCCATCGGAGCCTCGTAGTAGCCGCTCGGAGGAGAGAACGTCGAGGAGGGGGAGCCATGGGGAGGCGAATCGGGAGTTCGGGATCTGAGTTGAGGAGAAAGTTTGGGGCGGCGAATCTGGGAAAGTGGAGAGGTGGACGGCGGAGTGCGAGGGTGGAGACAGGGCACGCGCGCTAAGGTTTTTTATTGGGACTGAGGGAAGGAACGCGGGATTTTTTTTAATCAAATTTTGAAATTATTTGGTATTGTGAATCATATGCTTAATTTTAAATTTATTTGAATTTTATATAGTTCTAAAACCTAATCTTTGAAACTAAATATTGTTGTGGCATTTTTTTATTTCTCATTTTTGTTGTTTCCGTACACGAACTTATTTTAGAGCAACGTGTGTGGTAAAGACGATCTTTATTTTACATACATAGAACTTATATATGAAAATATAGATATGTTTAAGATCACATTCAATTCAAATTTGGTACTAAGATTTTTTCGCATTAGGCATAATACATATTTGCACAAGTTAATGGGCACTTGGACATTATGCCCATGGACATTATCCATATATTCCTTTTGATTAGTTGCTTATTCTTAATTAGAGTGAATCAAATGCAAAACAATAGGAGTAGATGTATAATTAATATCGAGCACCAATTTGACCTAAAATTCCTAAAACAAAGGTTTTTGCAATTTAGGGAGTATTACAGGGTTAAGTGCATTGGTGAGAGTAAAATAACCAAACAACAACATATTCTAGAATCAAGGAAGGCCATGATTAGGATGTCAAGGTGGCAATCTAGTTTTGTATAGCCCCAATGTCGTCCATTTGATCAAGAATAGACAGCTACAAGGTCACAGGCTGAGTAGGCCATTGTAGCTAAACTATTTTCATGAACAAACATACAAAATTAAAAAGATAAAGTTGTATCAAAGTAAGATGAAGTTAACCATTGACCTTCGTGCATAGCATAATCTCGGAGGCGTGCTACAATATGTATAAATCAAGCCCACACTGGAAAATCAAAATCGGCTCTGCACATTGTTTCAAAATGATGGATCCATCATACTTTCATTGTAAATATCATCGCTAGAGCAACTGCAGCGTCCATGCCATTATGATGATATAATTTGGCACATATATTTTATTTTGCCTCTAGAAAATACTTGCTAGTGAGTACATAGAAGACTAATAAGATGTCTTCATAAGTTAATAAATGATACTTTCGTATATAGAACTTAAAAAACACAGTTCAAATGTTGACGGATGATGTCGTGCCTCTTAGATGATTATGTGGCCCCTAGTCTAGTAAAGCACATATTATTTGTGTTATTGGGCCAAAGGGAAAAATATATGAGTAACAAATAGAAAACAAATTGTAAATGTAAATACGAAATAGCTAAAAAAATTAAACAATAAGTACCAAAAAAAGATGGTAAAATTGATAATGTAAATAAGAAATTGGGATTAAGATATGTGTAAGGAAAATGGACCCTAGGTCCATTTACTTTGGATTTTGGTGCTTGATGACCAACACAACAAAATTGGACTAATAAATTTGTAAGTGATTGTTTTATAGTTCAATAGGATGCAAGCCGTGACTTGGACGAAGACGACATGACGATCCGATGATCAACACCATAAGCAAGACCCTAGGAGCACAAGAGAAGACCCAAGATATCAAGCAAAGTCCAAGCATGAAGATAGGAACCAAGCCGTACGCAAGATCGCGAAGAAACGAGCTCGCAGAAGCGACCGGATGCTGGCAGAAGCGACCGGACGCATCGGTGAAGAAGCTCATCAAACTAGCGTCAGCAGCAGTGATCGAACGCTGGACCGAACGCTGGCGGCGAAACCGACGGGACGCAGGGCAGCAGCGTCCGATCGAGCACAGAGAGGTTCCAGAGCGGCGAAACTGCGACCGGACGTGTCCGGTGGCAGGTGACCGAACGCTGGCAGCGTCCGATCAAGTGTTCGTGGCTCCAACGATCGGGACGACCGGACGCGTCTGGTCAGGACAACTTCAGTGTCCGGTCAGTAGCAGAAAAAAGGGATTTTGTCCCCAGCGGCTACTTTCTCAGTGGGGCTTATAAATACAACCCCAACCGGCCAAATGAGGTGAGTGGAGCTAAGAAAACATAGTCAAGAGTTAGTTTTTTAAGTTGCTTCATTCACTCCCCCTCTCTTAGGCATCACGGTCCCCTTCAATTGGTATCAGAGCCGGTTGGCTCAAATTTGGACCTTTGGCTTAACCGCCGTTGAGCTGACGCTACTTAGAGTGGTTGGGATGGATACCTCTAGGCCTCTGCACTTTGATGGCACTAACTTCCTCTATTATAAAGCTAGAATGGCTTGCTACCTTGAGATAGTTGATTTGGGTGTATGGAGAGTCACTCGTGACGGGATGAAAACCATCAAGAATCCCAAAAAACCCACAAAGAGTGATGAAAAAGAAATGCATTTCAATGCTAGAGCTAAGAATTGCTTGTTTGAATCATTTAGCATGGATATGTTTAACCAAGTATTCACTTTAAATACGGCACATGAAATTTGGTTAAAACTCCAAAAGCTCTGTGACAGCACAAGTAATGTCCGTGAGCAAAAACATTGTCTAGCTAAACAAAATTATGATTCCTTTACAATGAATGATGATGAACTTGTTCATGATATATATTCTCGTTTGAATCTAATTATCAATGAGCTCCATTCAATAGGATTAATAAAGCTAGATGATGCGGACATCATGAGGAAGATCATCTCCATGCTACCACAAAAAGAAATATGCAAGCATCATCACCATCCTTCACAACATGGAGGACTTGAGCACCATGACCCCGGGCATAGTTATTGGCAAGTTAGTGACATTTGAAATGTCACGTAAGATGGGTCAAGAAGAAGCTTCTTCATCAAGCAAAGGCAAAGCTCTTGCATGTAGCGAGAAAAATAAGATGAAGGGGAAGCAAGTTGAGACAAGCTCAAGCTCAAGCTCCTCAAGTGAAGATGAAGAAGAAGATGAGGACGATGATGATGATGATGATCATGATGATGATGATTCAAGTGATGATGATCAATCTTCCTCCTCCACCTCCGACCTTGATAAAGAATCAATCAAATTAATCAACAAGGTGGAGAAGATGATCCAAAAGCTCAATATTAAGAGTGTGCCCATCCAAATTCAAGATCTCATTTTCACCAATCAAAGAAATGAGCAAAGAAAGAGAGAATGCTATGGATACGGTGAGTTGGGGCACTTTGTGGAAGTTTGTCCAAACAAGCCCACACCCAAGACAAAGAGAAAGGCATGCAAGAACCAAGCCCTCACCTCAATAAGATCATGGGATGATTCTTCAAGTGAAGAAGAACACCATCACAAGAGGCGAGGCCGCAAGCACTCATCATCAAGCTCTTCACGTGTGTGCCTTATGGCACGAGGTAACGAAAGCTCATCCTCTAGTGAGAGTGATAGTGATGATGATTTGCCTTCTTATGATAAAATTGTGCAACAAAATTTTAAATATGCTAAAGTTTGCACTAGTCAATAAAAGAAGCTCAAAAGTTTAAAAGAAAAGCTAGATAGTTCACAAGAAGCATACAAAACTTTGCTTGAACAATATGAGAACTTTGCTAATCTCAATGTTGAACTATCTACTAAAATTGAGCAATTTAAGGCTAGTGCAACAACAAATGAATGCACAATCAATGATGAGCAACTTGCAAAGAAAAATAAAAAACTAAAAGAAAAGCTAGTTAGCTCACAAGATGCTTATAAAAGTGTGCTTGCAAAAATAGAAACCATGTGCAAACATTGTGATGAGCTAACTAATAAAGTTGCTAATCTTGAAGCCGTTAGTACAACCCCCACCAAGGCATCTAAAAAGAAAAGTTCTATATTTAACATGTTTAAAAAGGATGCCTCTACTTCTTGTAATGATTTATGTTTAGACTCACCTTTGTGCAACTAAGTTTGTGTTGAGAAAGTTGTTGTAGACACATGCACACAAGAGGTCGCAAAGGAGAATGAGCAACTCAAGCAAGAAGTAGCTCGCCTCACCAAGGACTTGACTCAAGTGAAAGGCAAGGAGAAGCAAGCCCAACTTCATCAAGATAACACCATCAAGGGAGTGAAGAAGCTTGATAAAGGACAAACCGTGATTTGCTACGTGTGCCACAAGAAAGGTCACAAGTCCTATGAGTGCAAGGTAAAGAATGGGGGAGGAGCAAAGAAGAAAGAGAAGAAGCAAACAAGCAAGCTCTCCAACACCTACACCAACAAGGTGGACAAGAAGGCCTCCACACCTTATCTCTTGAAGAAGAAGAAAAATGACAAGGTGGTGGCCATCAAGGTGAATAAGCAAGCCAACAATGGGGTCAAACGTTTTTGGGTGCCAAAGGAAATCATTTCCAACATGAAGAGCACCAAGAAGGTTTGGATCCCTAGAGAGAAGTGAGAAGTCAAATGGACTACGGGGAATTTGGAGACTTGGCAAAGTATAGATGCATTTCATGGGGTGCATCTTTATGGACAAAAGTTATTACCAAGTGGGTTAGTGAATACTATGGACCCAAATTCCCCTTCCCATGTTAGGTAACTAGATTCAATTTACTTCATTTGGTATTAGATTTAAATTTTCCTACATTTGGTATCTTTTAACATCTAGTTACCCTTCATGCCTAGGTTTGCATTTGCATGCTCATATCTTTTGTCATGTATACACTAGGTATATCTTATGGTAGGCTTGCTCGGTTTCATTCTTAATCCTTGGAGCAAACCTACATGGTTTAAATTTGTTTAGGAGCACAGCACATAGCTTGACTTTTGATTATTCATCTAATATGTGCCAAAGTCCAAATTATAGATAATTTCTCCCAAATATTATCTTCGAAAATGATTCTCACATTCATGTGATGTCATATTTCAAGTGGTATTATTGATTCTAAAATAAATGTGCATGTTTTCTATAAGTTTTCCATACTTGTGTGCACAAATTTAGGGGGAGAATACTCTACAAGTTGGATGCATTGAGACTAACACCTTTTCAAGCTTATCATGTGTGTAGTAGTCTCATTGCAAGAAAAATGGAGTCCCCGGAGTTAAGCATCATATTTTAAATATCCACCACCTATCGCAAGTGGTAGAAATCAAATTAGTTTTCACATATGGTATTTTTAAACCGATATCATCATGTTGATTTCATTTTGATATTTATATGCTTTCTCCATGCATTATATAGATTAAATTCCCCTGAGCAAAAATTTGCCAATTATGCATATGCTTTGTCTTCTACCATATGTATGCATATATTTAGGGGGAGCTTAGTCTATATAATGTGAGAGTCAAATTTTGTGATCTATTTCACTCTACCCTTAAAAGATCATAAGGTTTGACCCTCCCTTGTGCTACTAATATCTTCCTTTTTGGTGTTTGATTCCAAAGGGGGAGAATTTAGAGGACCAAATGCAAGCATTAATTTATAGTAATGGTCCAAGAAAGGGAGGATAGTGGATTATGGAATGGGGAGAATTTGTAGGAAGCAAGGCTTAAATCCATAATACCACATAGGGATATTTGCAAGGGCAAGATAAGTTTTTATATAGTCTTACAAGTAATATCTTTTAGCATCATATAATCTTGCCCCTTGCATTGCATCCTAGCAAGTAGGTAGTTTTTAAATTTCAAAATTTTATTATTTGCTTGCTTTGGTCGTGTTGTCATCAATCACCAAAAAGGGGGAGATTGTAAGGAAAATGGACCATAGGTCCATTTACTTTGGATTTTGGTGCTTGATGACCAACACAACCAAATTGGATTAATGAATTTGCAAGTGATTGTTTTATAGTTCAATAGGATGCAAGACGTGACTTGAACGAATACGACATGATGATCCGATGATCAACACCATAAGCAAGACCCTAGGAGCACAAGAGAAGACCAAAGATATCAAGCAAAGTCCAAGCATGAAGATAGGAACCAAGCCGTACGCAAGATCGCGAAGAAACAAGCTCGCAGAAGTGACCGGACGCTGGCAGAAGCGACCGGACGCTGGACCGGACGCGCCGGTGAAGAAGCTTAGCAAACTGGTGTCAGCAGCAGCGACCAGATACTGGACCGGACTCTGGCGGTGAAATCGACCAAACGTAGGGCAGCAGCGTCCGATCGAGTACAGAGAGGTTCCAGAGCGGCGAAACTGCAATCGGACGTGTCTAGTGGCAGGTGACCAGACGCTGGCAGCGTTCGATCAAGTGTTCGCGGCTCCAACGGTCGGGACGACCGGACGCGTCCGGTTAGGACGACTTCAACGTCCGGTCAGTAGAAGAAAAGCGGGATTTCGTCCCAACGGCTACTTTCTCAACGGGGCTTATAAATACAACCCCAACCAGCCAAATGAGGTGAGTGGAGCTGAGGAAACATAGTCAAGAGTTAGTTTTTTAAGTTGCCTAATTCACTCCCCCCTTAGGTGTCACGGTTCCCTTCAATATGAATATGTCAAAAATCCAAAAATAAAAAGTTTTTGTAGTATGTACTATCTTTCTCCCTTTTTAAGTATTGATATGGTATTTTGTGCTGATCAAACTTTCTTGAGTTTAACTAGGTTTACCAGAAAAATATTTGCAGCATTTGCATCTCTAAATAAGTTTATTAAAAAATAGATTTAACGATTTATCTAATGATATTAATTTAAAATTTTTATCGGATTCATATTCGTATCATTAATGATATTGGAATGGAGGGAATACCTTTTTAATGGAAACTTAATAAGTTAATATATCCTGATTTCAACATGTTTTCGAATGTGAAACTTCGAAAAAATATGTTTTTCAATGTACACAATTTTATTTTATTTTTTGCAATAATACGCTTTTGTGAATTTAAATGTATTTCTACCCACTTCTTAGAGTTACTTGGTATTGGAGCAACATTTGTAGGCATCTGTGTTAGTACTGTGAGACTCAAAAAAGAAAAAAAAACTAGTATATGTGGTTTGTAAACATGTGTAATTCAAAATTTCGAGGGAACAAACCACACCCTTTTAACATTCTCAAAAACTTTCATCACGTAAATCTAAATGAGTTGGTAATTTTTTTTCATTTTGTGGATATTCAACATGTCATTATCTACATATGTGCAGTTTTTTTAAAAAAAACAAACCTTTTAACTATGATTTGTATAGTCTATACTATTTTTAAAATTGGCTATTTCGATCAATGGAGATTTTGGCGGCCAAATTCCAGGTCACGAAACTCGTCTTGAGGCTACTAGCGGGAAACAAACCCACGAGGCCCTAGACCATCAAGAAGCAGGCAGCTTATTCGGGAGGCCGTATCGTATCGTGGATTATTTATTGTTGGCTGATTTGGTGTGGGAGAAAAACACTATCCAGAAGCAGGCAGCCTGTTCAGGAGGCCGTATCATATCGTAGATTATTTACTGCTGGCTGATTTGATATGGGAGAAAAACACTATTCCCAACTAAAAATTTACGATCATTTACGAGCAAGCGAACATGCTGCCAGGGCAAGCCGGGGGACAACAAGGAGGACTTCGCCGATCCTCCTCCCACCGCCGCCGCTGTCGCCGCCGCGGCGTCATCTCAACACCATGCCGCACGCATTCCTCCCTTCGAAATCCGCCGCCTGCCCCGTGTTCACACCTCGTCCACCCCAAACATAGCCGTTCCCCTCCCCTTCCCTCTGCCTCCACAAAGCTGCCTCCTCTCCGGGCGGGGTGGAGGTGGCCGGATCCACGGCCCGGTGCCCCGATCTGCCAGGGGATGGATAGATCCAAGCGTTCGCGGCAAGGATGACCAAGGGCGCATCGGCGGCGACGGCATCCCCGCAGTCGGACACGGCAGCAACTGCAAGGCGGCCGCCACCCACCCCTTCGGTCGCAGCAACGGTAGCACCCATCCAATTCCCAACGGGGACTGCTTCCTCCGTGCCTGCATGTTGACAGAGATAAAAAATTTCCTCAAATATATTTTGGATGACTAAATGTTGCTTTTGCTTTCACGGCTGTAACTCTTCTATTTTTCTTTGACAGTCAGTGAACTCCCACTTCCATTTTCAATTCTCACCATTCCTTTTCTACCTGCAGCCACATGTGCAATATTTATCTTTCCATCTATGCAGGCTAATAGAGGCTTTCAGTTCTTTATTATCAGACTAACAGAGTCTAACAATCATATGAAAATAACTGAATGTTGCTTTTGATTGACATGTGAGACAATTGTTTTGATGACTGAATGTTGCTATGTAGGCATGAAGCATGAATGCTGCTACTGAATAGATGCAATGTGGGATGCGGGGCGATTCAGCAACTCTTCTAGTTATATATGGAGTGTCTGTAAGGTTCTTAAAAAAGCTTATGTTGATGATGACTTATGAGGTGAGTCGACATTAGTATAAATGTTTTATTTCAGTTTGCTCCATGCTCCTGTATGAGTTCTGAATGTCCTAAAAGCTAAAATGTGAAAAACTACTGATCTATGTTGCAGAAAATTATGGAACTCATATCAGTTTCAAGGAAGGAACTCCTATCTATCTGAAACTAAAATAACTGAAAGATAACTCAGATGTTTGGAATGGTCTACTTGTCTATTCAGTTTAGTAACATTGCTAGTGTTCAGTCTGGCCATTAACCAAGTTCAATGGTCCTTTAATTTAGTTCTGTTGGTGCTTCTATTCTTATTTATTTTTTCAGCCATTGCCGTTGTCATGACCAGAGTTGCTTCTTTTTGTCAGAGGCCTGTAATTGGTTATTTTACATGTGGATTTGTGTTCCTCATTTCCCTACTCCCCCTCAGCCTCCCATGGCTGCAGTGGCCGATCCAGAAAATTAGTAGTGGGTTAGCACTGATAAAAGTTAGTTTTGGACTGCAATACTAAACCTTAAGTCCTTAAGCGAAGGCAAATTTGCCTAACAACCATCGACACATTTCTAATCAAATCAGGAGCCCAGTGTAATTGCTAATATAAATCAGTCACTACATTCTTTCAGACAAGGCTCAAATCTGGATCAATTTGTTTTGCTTGAGCACCACAACTTAAGCATGCTTGGCTGCACCTTACTGTGCATTGGTAATTTTAGCAGAACAATGAAGCAAGACATGAAATATTGTTAAAAGTCTTCTACCTCTGAATTTTGTTGTTTCCTATGACAGATAATCCACATAACTGAACAAATGCAGCTCACATGACAAACACATTTTATTTTCATTCACGTACCTAATCTGTTAGCTTTTTAGGTTGATTGTCATTTCCGATTCGGAAGGCGAATATGAAATAGAAAGGAATTGCTGTTTGGATCGGCATCAACAAAAAAGAAGGCTAGTCCTACCTAGGATTGTTTGGATCATGTAACCCTTTCAAATGTTTTCAGCACACATTGCCTGAAATTTTCAGCACTCTATATTAGCCATGTGTATCAAATGTTTTCTGCACTCTACATTACCCATGTCTATCAACCGTTTTTAGGTTGTGATCAGCAATCCTTCTGATTCTGAAGGCGAATCTGACAAAGAAAGGAAGGGCAAGGACCAAATCGTCGGCATCAGCCAAATAGAAGGTTAGTGCAACCTGTGGTTGTTTGGCTGCCTTGGCTAGTTCCGCTCTGAGGCATTTAACGTTACTAACTAAAATTTTGTTGGCTGGTGTAGAAAGTCACCAAGCCCCTAAGCTAAAGGGTTGAACAACTTAGATCGCACATGGATGATCGGCGAGAGGAGATTGAGAATTAGACCTGAAGCTTGAAGACAAGGGGGAGGACATAGACAAGACTATGAAAGAGTTCATGGTGGCCATTGCTGACAGGTTTGAGGACATGGAGAAATGATCAAGCCCCAGAATAACTAAATTCGTAGTAGGTTAACCAAGTCCTAGCTGGTTCTTATGCAGGTTATCATGTAGGCACTTTGGCAACATCTAAGTATGGACATCTATATTGTAAATGCAGTACATGTATCTATCTATTATGTACATTTATATCTATCTATGAGGACCTAGCTGGTACTTACATCTATCTGTATATTCAAGTTCGTGTTACCAGCTATATGGCCTGATTCTTACTGGATCAAGATATACTGATGACATTATATAAGAACTTGTTATTCTTATTGTGAACGATTAAAAATAGTACCAGAAAAAAATGTGGAAAATTGTAAATATCTTGTTACTGTTTGATAATAGTTAAGCACATCTATGGCATAAACACAACAAAGCTCATCTTCTATTAAACCTGTGTCACACTAATCAGCAAGATGAGATCGACACAAATAGAGTAGCATTTCTCTAGTTTTAAATTAGAATTTATAAGGTAAATGCAACATGTGAAGACTGGATGTGGGCAAGCACTATGAATGCAAAACGGTGCCAATGGATGAGACGTTGCTCTGTCCATAACAATATTGCGCAGCTCATGAACCACGCCTTAAATCAAACAAAAAATTGCACAGCTCAAGAGATATTGTTGTATGGCCCAAGAGCTGATCGTGTCCCAATGTTGTTAAAGCCTGGTGCCACCAGGTGTTGCGCTGGGTTGGCTGGGCCGCCACCTTCTGCGTGTGCTGTGATTTTTTTCTTGTTTTTTTATTTACTAGCTTTTAACTTTTGGATGGTAGGCTGGTCTGACCCCTTTGTTTTTGGCTCAGATGCATGATAAGTAATGCCTATGGACAAATTTTAATGGCAATATCACTCTTCTTGCAGCGACATATACTCAATATAGCCACATATAAAGTTGGTGGCAATAGAACCTCAACAGATGCAACGAATGCCTTTTTGGTTGCAATATAATAACATCTTTTGCAATGTAGGGCAAGACCAAGGCAACAAAGTTTTATCGTGGCTATATTCGCAACTACTTGCAACTAATCATTTTTTGGATGCAATATAGATCTAATCTATCGAAACGCAGGTCAAAATTAAGACAACGTAATTACTTTATTGTCACATGTGCAACTACTTGCAACCAACTTTACAGTGGTGGCAACAACACCTAGCTATCGCAACGCAACATCAATGTTATCACAACTCAACACTACCTGTGGTATTAAGCACCCATACTCGCAACCACCTTTTCCACCATGGCATTAGCACCTACCTCTTGCAACAGAGTTTATGACTAACGCAACACACAATTTTGGTGGCCATAAGGCCCATATATTGCTACCAATTATGACATTTGTTGCCGTAGAACCAAATATTGCAACCAAATGGGTGGTGTTGCGAAAGCAAGTGGTGCTATAAGGGTCAAATCCTTGTAGTGTTGCTTCTTTATGATTTTATGTGATTTAATAAAATCAATCTGTGGGGGTATTAACCCCTATACCCTTACGGCTAAGCTTGGGCCGGCCTGGATCGATGGGTCCGGTCCATCTGAAAGACGACGCGCGGCCCAGCCAACCCGGTTGGAGTCCTGCGCAAGGAGTTAAGGCGGATTTGGCGATCAAGTAGGATCCTGGTCGGTTAGAATAGGAATCCTTATCCGGCCACATATGGCAATTGTAACTGGCTAGGATTAGTTTCCAGATCTGTAACCCTGCCCCCCGGACTATATAAGGCGGGCAGGGGATCCCTCTAAAAAACATCTATCATTAACATATAGCAATACAATCAGACACAGGACGTAGGTATTACGCCTTCTTGGCGGCCGAACCTAGATAAAACCTCGTGTCTGTCTTGCGTCACCGTCTTGTTTGTGGCTTACGCATCTGTCTGCCGATAATCTACTACCTTGGGCATACCCCTAGGTAGACTGCCGACCATATTTTGTCGACAGTGGCGCGCAAGGTAGGGGGTGTGCGTACTGCTCTCCAAGCAAACAAGACGGTCATCACCTCTGGCTCCATGGCTACGCCGAACGGCCTCACGTTCACCGTCGGCCAGATCACCTGGACTACCGGCTCCGACGGCTTCATCGTCATGACCATGGAGGAGGCGTGGATTCAGTCTGCGCCGACCACTGCTTCACCTACATCGGCTACGGCTCCGACCACGATGGATCTGGCTCCGACCACGGTACATCGGGCTCCGACCACGGTACGTCTGGCTCTGATCACGATGGATCTGGCTCCGACCACGGTACATCTGGCTCCGACCACGCCTACATCATCTTCAGCCACGTCGACGACTCGTCGTCTGCTTCCCCGCTACAAAGGGAAGCAGATCGACAACACCGACCTGCTCAGCTCCATCGATCGGGTCGGTGTTGCAGAACCGACCAATTTATAAGAATACAAGTACAATGGCAATCCGCAAGCGGTCGCACTGTCATACTTGAACCCATATAAACCCGGTAGTCCGTCGAGTACCACGACGGGTCTCGATAAATGATTTACAACAACCAAGATCGTACAGGATTCAACATACATGCCACATATTACATAAAGTTCACAGATACTTTTCATCATCGTAGTACGAATAAAAGTTATTACAAACCGAGTTTGATAATTAAAGCGGAAGCAAATAAGTTCGAGGGTAAAGTTTCCAACATAGTTTGATACAATTGCCATGCCGGATCACGATCCACAAAAGCAAAGATAGGAATTACTAAGGAAGCTCGCCCAAAGGCTTACTCCTCATCCACAATGGGGATAGAAGCAACTCTTGCAATAACCATGATACACAAAGTGCCATCTCGCAATAATGGGAAAATAAACCACGAGTATGAGAAGGTACTCACTAGACTTACCGTCATGAACCGTAAATAAAATGACTCCAAGGATCATGCAAGGTCAGTATAAGTGGACGTAACTTGACAACATTTTGCGAAAAAGGCAATTACCCGTTGAAAATTATGATTCCTTTATCAAGTTAATTATAACTATCCATTTCTAGATTAGCAACTATCCTGTACCAAACATGTGGGATATCATTTAGAAGCATACAATAGTAACCATAGCAGGTATTGTAATTCCATATTCATCCGAACCACCATGTTTCATAATATAGCTGCTACGATGTTGGGACTAGCCAAGTTTCTCACTATCCGGAGAGGCGGCGATTCAATCGATTTCAACCAGTGAAATTTATTCCTAACACAAACCAGATCTACCACCACGATAGTCTTAGGTCACCTTTGGTACAACTCAGTACACATTTCATGCGGGTTCGTATCACACAAGCATGTCTGGAACACCAGATGCCGGGATGCTCAGCCAAACCTGCCCTTGGGCTCGGTCGATCGTTCCCCTAAAGGCGCTGTGAACGATTCCCGACCGAGTTGAATTACTCGGCCAGCGGTCGGAACGAATTATCCGGCCAGCTAAGTGAGAGGCATGCGTTCAATCTTGTCGGAAGCGCCAACAACAGTGCGGTCCTTAATCGACACAGAGCACGGAGATAAGTCCACACCCAAGACCTCCATGCCCTGTTGCTTCCCTATCGATCTCCGTCCGGTCTCAATTTACTTTTACCTCATGGTTCTGTTCCACGATAGCGATATAGCCAACCGTGCTCGGTATCCACCTATATCTCGCAGTGACAGGACATCACCCGACTTCTACCAGTCTAAGCATGGCTAAGCATATATATATTCGATCCTGGACCTATACCGGTTAAAGGTGTAATATCTCGACAAGGAATGTACATGCATCAAGTGGTTTCATTCAACTCTTATAACCTAATGCATCAATCATAAATACGTAAGTAAACATTTGTAAATTATCGGGAGACTTATAATGCTCCGGGGCTTGCCTCGCAGAAAAGAAGTAGGACGGTGGTCGGGGCACTCGGAAGCTCTTGAGGTTCTCGCTCCACGCCTTCGAGAGCTACGGCTATGGGATCCTCCTGCGGGTTCCCTTCCTCTGCTTCTTCAATTCCAAAGAACGTGATCTCTTCCTCCGATCCTAGATGCATGAGTATGGTATAAGTATTACGAATGCATATATGTTAACAAGTGCATCACGTTGTTTGAGTAGGTGCATATCTCTTCTCGCTTACTACTTAACTACTTCTACAAAGCATCGACTATGCCATAAACAAGATCTACTTGTTTCGCTCATAACTGAGTTCTACAAATCCAAATCCAGTGATCCTGGACTTTCTGGAAAGCTTATCAAATTTTCTACAACTTTGTTATTAACCATTTTTACAGTACACATCAGTTTCAACATGAAAATCCTCACACTCTAGAATCAGTCCGGAAATGACTTAACATGCAACATAAAGTAAGAATACTTCTACTTCAGGTAATCATTCAAAATTTGACAACCTAGAACCTACCAATAGTTTAAACATACCAAATACAGTTAAGATGATATAATGGTAAAGCCCAAACTATTTATTAAATTGCCTTTATTATTTTATTTAGATACCTAGGTTAAATAATAAATATATATCAGATGTGCTTAATAAATTCTCAAAATTTACAGAGCTTTACTAATGCTATCAAGAGACTACTGTAAAAAATTTCATGTCATTTTACCAAGTAGAACATTCTATACAAAATGACAAGGCAGCAAGGCTTGAAATAGCATAAATGGAAAACCCTATTGAAAAGTGTCAAGCAATAGATTTCATATTTTTCTTAGCATCCATATGGTACTAGGATTACCTCCAATAAATTTCATGAATTTTGGACTCATACTTAATTTATGAAAATTCATGCAAGGATTAACTAGTCATAAAAGAAAAATCTCTAACTTTAAATCTACCCATGCACTGGTCCTCAAATTTTTACCAGAGTTCACA